CTGATGATGATTATGATGATGATCATGGTGGTGGTGGTAATGGTTGTGGTGGTGGAGGTAGTGGTAGTGGTGGTGGCGGTTGTGGTGGCTGCGATGGGCATTATGATGATGATGATGATGATGATGATGATGGTGGTGGTGGTGGTGGTGGTGGTGGTGATGCTGCTGCTGCTGGCGATGATGCTGATGATGATCAGGAGGAGGAGGAGGAGGAGGAGGAGGAGGAGGAGGAGGAGGAGGAGGAGGAGGAGCAGGAGGACGATGACGAGGACGAGGTGGAGTGGCAGCAGGAGAGGACTGGGTGGCAAAACAGGCCGCTTGCGGCTGTCATGCAGACGTGAAGGGCGGAAACAGCGGTAGTGGTGGCTTGCTAGCGCGTGGGCAGTCTTTTCGTTGCATGGCCCCAGCCCAAAAGGGCCGGTCGAAAATCTATACTCCGGGAGCAAGTGGCCCCGAAAACCAGCAGCGGCAGGGGTAGCGCATGGCACCAGCGGGGGGGAGGACCGGGGAGGAGATCCGCGCAGGGTTTACCATCGGGTCCGCTACGAATGCGACGGGCGCTCTTCCCCCTGCGTTTTCGTGCGGTCCTGGCATGGCGATAATGCGGATGATGAGTAGGATGATGAGGGGGAGGAGGCGGATGATGATGATGATGATGATGGGGAGGAGGTGGAGGATGATGGTGGAAGGATTATGTTGAGGAGGAGAGGGGGGAGGAGGAAGAGTAGGGGGGTGAGGAGGATTATGCTGCTGCTGCTGATGATGATGATGGTGAGGTTCAGGAGGAGTAGGAGGAGGACGACGACGGTGATAATGATGATTATGATTATGATGCTGCTGCTGCTGATGATGATGCTGCTGCTGATGATGATGATGATGCTGATTATGATGATGATGATGATGGGGTTGGTGTTGGTGGTGGTCCGGATGATGATGACGACGACAATGACGCCGCCGCCGGCGATGACGACGATGACTATAACGATAACGCTGATGATAATGCTGATGACGATGATGGTTCTGATGATTATGATTATTCTGGTGATTGTGATGATGTTGACGAAGATGGCGATGACGATGACAATGACGATGGCGATGACGATGACGATGACGATGACGACGATGACGATGACGATGACGATTATGATGATGATGATGACGATGACGATCACGATGACGATGACGAGGATGATGATGATGCTGCTGATGATGTTGATATTGATTATGATGATGCTGCTTTTAATGATGACAAGGAGGAGACGGACTCGCAAGATGAGGAGGAGGAGGCGGAGGACAATGAACAGGATGATGATGCGGAGGTTGCGGAGGATGATGATTTTGTAGAGGATGGGGGTCGGAGAAAAGGGGGTGATGAGGCGAAATATGATGAGTATGATGTTCATAATGTTTATGATGATGAGGATGGTGATGATGATGATGATGGTGATGATGATGATGATGATGATGATGATGATGATTGTGATGACGATGTTGATGCTGATGCTGATGCTGATGCTGCTGCTGATGATGATGATGATGATGTTGATGATGATGATGATGATGATGATGATGGTGGAGGTGCTACTGCTGACGACGACGATGCTGACGATGATGATGGCGATGACGATGACGATGACGATTGCGATGGCGAAAACGACAATGACCACGTTGATGACGCCGCCGCTGCTGGCGATGATGACGATGACTATAACTATAACGATGCTGATGATTATTGGGATTATGATGATGATGATGATGATGATGATGATGATGAGGATGATGATGATGATGATGATGATGATGATGATGATGATGATGATACTTACGATTACGATGACGATCATGCTGCTGATGATGATGATGATGATGATGATGATGATGATGATGATGATGATGATGATGATGATGATGATGATGAGGCTCCCCCCCGATCTTGCTGAGTGGTGTGTGTGTGTCTGTGCGCGTGTGTGTGTGGTGGTGGGGGGCGTGCAGGGGCAGTTGGCTCCCCCAAATCCGGCAGTGCGGAGGCGGGGGTGGTGGGGGGACAGCGACGCCCGCACAGCCGGCCTCAGAGAGGGGAGGCCAGCAGCTCTCCCGCCCCCCCCGTTTCGTTGCCAGGCTATCGGTCGCAGGTGATTCTTCTCCCCCAATCTGCAGTTCAAAGAGGGGGAATCCCTCGGATACACCCTAGGGGGACTATTCGGACGCACCTCTATCGAGAATGGACGCCCCCCATCGTGCATCCCAGGGTTGGGCCCCCATTTTTGTGATCCATTCGAAAACCCCACGAAGCCTGGGATAGGGGTCGACAAATCCCCTGTTAATCGGGGCGGCGCGCCCGCGGCGTCAGCACCCCTCCCGCCTCCTCCTCCACCTCCTCCTCTTCATCCTCCTCCTCCTTCTCCTCCTCCTTCTCCTCCTCCTCCTCCTCCTCCCTCCTGCCTCCTTCTCCCTCCCTCTCTTCTCCCTCCTCCCTCTGAGGAGGAAGCGGAGGAGGAGGAGGCGGAGGAGGAGGAGGCGGTGGAGGAGGAAAAGGGGAGGAGACGCCCTTAGCCTATGGGGGGTGGGCGGCGGCTGTGGTGGCGGCGGCGGTGGCAGCGATGGGTGGGGGCAGCGATTGGGGGGGGCGGCGGCGGTGGCGGCTGCGGCGGGGTCGGCGGCGGTAGTGATGTGGTGGTGGTGGTTGTGGTGGCAGCTGCGGCGTTGGCGGCGCCAGTTGGATCCAGCTCATCTTTGGGAATCTCGTGCGGACCGTCGAACGTTTTTTTTTTTTTGCAGGATCGGTGGGCGCGACGCAGCAGCTGCACGTGGCGGGGGTTGGGCGGGGGGCGTGTGCGGCGAGAGCGGCGGTGAAGATGGCTACACCTCCTCCCTCTTCTCCTCCTCCTCCGCCTCCGGATACTCATCTTCTCCTCGCTCTTGATCATCTGCTTCTTCTCTGCGGTTGTCGTACTCTCCGTTGTTGCCTTCTGTGTTTTTTTCTAGCGTTATCCACGTCTCGTCTCGTCTCGTCTAGTCTCGTCTCGTCTCGTCTCGTCTCGTCTCGCCTCGTCTCGTCTCGTCTCGTCTCGTCTCGTCTCGTCTCGTCTCGTCTCGTCGTCATCGTCGTCGTCGTCGTCGTCCTCGTCCTCGTCCTTGTCTTTCTTGGCTTTCGTCGTCGTCGTTGTCGTCGTCGTTGGTTGTCTTTGTCGTCGCCGTCGTCTTCGCGTTTTTGTCGTGTTTGTCGTCTTTGTCGTCGTCGTCTTTGTCGTCGTCGTCATGCTCCACCTCTTCCACTTCCATCTCTCCCCCGACTGCTCCTCGGCCGTCGTGACGCTCGCCGCCGCCATCATCGGCGCCGCCGCCGTCGTGGTCGCCTCCCTGGGCCGCCGCCGTCGCCGCCGCTGCTGCTGCTCTTGCCTTGGCCCGGCAGGGGCACGGCCCGTGCCCTGCCAGAGGCCGGAGGTGGCCGCGCCGCCAGCGCGAGCTCGCGCGGAGCTCGCCGCGGTCCCGGCGGCGGGAGGAAGGCAGGCGAGGCGAGGCACGACGGGTCCTGCCCGATGTGCGCACAAAGCGAACATGTGGAGATGGAGGGGGAGGGGGAGGGGGGGGGAGGAGGAGGAGGAGGGGGAGGAGGAGGAGGAGGAGGAGGAGGAGGAGGCAGGATGATGCGGCAGGGTGAGGATGCGGATGAGCATGCGGGTGAGGATGATGCTGCTGCTGACTGTGATGATGCGGCTGTTGCTGATGATGCTGCTGCTGGTGATGATGATGCTGATGATGTGGATGACAATGACGGTGACGATGACAGCGACGACGACAATGATGATGTCGTTGATGATGGTAATGGTAATGCTGATGACGATTATGCCAATGATGATGATGATGATGGTGCTGCTGCTGCTGATGATGATGAGGAGGATGAGGATGAGGATGAAGATGGTGAAGATGGCGGCGGTGAGGATGCTACTATTGATGATGATGATCATGATGAAGATGGTCCTGATTATGGTGATGATGATGATGATGATGATGATGATGATGATGATGGTACTCGTGGGAGTGACGGTGATGATTCCGATGTTGACGCTGATGCATGTGTTGTATGTGTTGATGGTGAAGATGATGAGCGTGATGGTGACGACGACGGCGATGATGATGCTGCTGTGGACGATATGATGATGTTGATGATGATGGTGACGACGGTGCTGAAGTGGAGGATGAGGACGATGATGATGAGGAGAATGACTATGGCGATGACGATGACGGTGACGCTGGTGATGTTGATGATGATGATGCTGACTATGATGTTGACGATGATGAGGCTGATGATGATGGTGACGATGATGGACGTGATGGTGCTCATGACGACAATGATGCAGATGATGATGCCGCTGATGCTGATTAGGATGATGATGCTGATGATCATGAGGAGGATGATGGTGATGCTGATAAAGAGGATGGTGATGCTGATGATGCCGATGATGATGACGATGATGCTTACGATGCTGCTGCTGCTGCTGATGATGATGTTGATGCTGCTGATGCTGATGCTGATGTTGATGCTGATGCTGCTGATGCTGCTGATGCTGATGAGGATGAGGATGATGGTGATGATGGTGATGCTGCTGCTGCTGATGATGATGCTGATGCTGATGAAGACGATTATGCTGCTGTTGTTGATGGCGATGGCTGAGGAGGAGGAGGAGGAGGAGGAGGAGGAGGAGGGGAACAGTCACGGGCGTCAGGACAATGCAGCTGCTGCTGCTGCTGCTGCTGCTGCTGCTGCTGCTGATGATGATGATGATGATGATGATGATGATGATGAGGCTGATGCTGATGATGATGATGATGAGGAGGAGGAGGAGGAGGAGGAGGAGGAGGAGGAGGACGAGGAGGAAGAGTAGGAGGCGGAGGAGGAGGAGGCGGAGGAGGAGGAGGAGGAGGAGGAGGAGGAGCCGGAGGAGGAGAAGAAGGAGGAGGCGGAGGAGGTGACGATAGAAGGATGAAGGGGGCGAACAGGAGCTGTCCAACGTGTTCTGGAGCGTGGGCGAGATGCTGCCCGAGGGCCCCGCCACTGGGGAGGCCGTCATGGCGGCCGAGGCGCTGCTCGTCGGAGGAGGAAGTGGAGGGGGATTCGATCAGATTAGACGATGCCCCGCGCGCTTATCCTCACAGCCACTCGAGAATACTTATCTCTCTGACCAGCTTCGTGCGGACAGGCGCTCCACTCCTGTCGAGCGCTCTCAGGTGCCCGGGACGGGGGAGGAGGAGGAGGAGGCGGAGGCGGAGGAGGAGGAGGAAGAGGAGGCGGAGGAGGAGGAGGAGGAAAAGGAGGAGGAGGAGGAGGAGGAGGAGGAGGAGGAGGAGGAGGCCTGCCGGGACGCGGACCTGCTGGCCTACCGGGCGCTGTCGCTGCTCGAGCGACGGGCCGCTGCAGCAGCGCGCGGTGGCCTAAGAGCAGCGGCGGGTGGAGCGTGAGCCCTCGGGAGAGCAGGCCGAGGGCTCACGCGGTGGCCGGCCGCGGCCTTACGTTCTCGCGGGCTCCTGCTGGGCGGTTTCTTTCGTGGGCGAGTTCGGGGTGCGCGCGGGTGGTGCACGGGCCCGTTCGCCACACCGGGAGGAGGCGGGCGAGGATGCCGATGACGATGGTGGTGGAGGTGGTGTTGACGGTGATGGTGGTGACGATGATTCTGATGGCATCGGCGGTGGCGACAACGTGGCTGCTCATCATGATTATGACGACGGCGACGATGACGATACCGAGTACGATACGAAACTGGTTCCGCCAAGTGCTCGCACCCTGTCTTTTGCAGGGAGAAGCGGGGTGTCACCGAACTGTGTTGTCGGGCCCCAGCTTGCAATAACAACGGCTCCCGCTTGATATTCCTTCACAATTTATTACCAACTCGCGCTCTCGTGTGGGAGCTTCTCCTAATTTATGCAGAAATCGCGCTCTCGCGTGGGACTTCCTTGCATTTTATTCAGACGCCGCGCCCTCGACACTCAGGAATCACGCTCTCGCTGTGGATTTCCTAGCGATTTATTTGGGAGTCGCGCTGTCGCTCGAGACTTCCTCGCGATTCATGCAGGACGCACGCTTCAGCAAGCTCGACCTGGCCGCCTGGGCCCGCCTTTCAGACCAGCCTGTCAGGGTCTACTCGCCCGATCTGCCCGTCTGGTTCTGCCATGTGTTTTCCCCTCCCAGCCCCCCTCCTGCTACTCTCTCTCGTGCTTCATTCTCCTCCCTCCCACTTGTCCCTTCCATCCGTCCTCTCTTCCCCTGCTTTAGGGGCTGCACGGCATACACGTTGCAGGTAAGAAACATATACCCCCCAGGGGGTACGATCGAAGACGAAGAGGGTGGGTATCGAGAGAGTTTTGGGATATGAGGGAGGGTATCGAGGGTTTGGGAGATACGTGTTGAACGGCACGCGCGCAGATAAAAGCGAACAAACTTAAACATGTTGTTGTTCTTGTTGCTGCTGTTGCTGTTATTGTTGTTGCTGCTGCCAGGGCTGTTATTGCTGTACTTGTTGTTCTGTTGTTGTGATTGTTGTTGCTGCTGCTGCTGTTGCTGTTGTAGTTGTAGTTGCAGTAGTTCCTGTTGGTGTTGCTGCTGCTGTTGTTGCTGCTGATGCTCCTGTTGCTGTTGACGGCGATGACGATGGTGGGGATGATGATGCTGATGACGATGACGATGACGATGGCGATGCTGATGCTGATGAGGATGCTGATGATGAGGATGCTGCTGATGACGTTGATGATTCTGTTGCTGATGCCGATTATGATGATTATGCTGATGATGCGGATGATGACGATGCTGATGCTGCTGCTGATGATGCTGCTGATGATGATAATGACGGTGATGTGATGTTGATGATGATGCTGATGTTGATGCTTATGATGATGCAGATGATGATAACGATAATGATGATAGTGATGATGATGCTGAGGAGGATGATGCTGATTACGATGATGACTATGACGATGATGATGCTGCTGATGGTAATGATGATGATAATGATTATGCTGATGCTGATGCTGTTGCTGATGATGATGGTGATGATGACGATGATGATGATGATGATGATGATGATGATGAGGATGATGATGCTGATGATGATGATGATGATGATGATGATGTTGTCGATTGTGATGGCCCTGGTGATGGTGATGGGGAAGGAGGGCGAGGGAAGCGACGAGCGAACGGGCGGGCCTCCGGGGCTTAGCGGTGGCGGTGCAGAAGACCAGGTCATCACGGCCGCAAGGGAGCGTCGAGGGGGATGATCGGAGGGCAAGATCGAGGGGGAAAAGGGGCAGGATGGGGAATGAGGACCAATGGGCAGGAGGAGGAGGAGAAGGAGGAGGAGGAGGAGGAGGAGGAGGAGGAGGAGCAGGAGGAGGAGGAGGAGAACCAATGTAAACCAAAGGGGCATCAACGATGTTGGAATAATTCCTCCCTCCAAGCTCCCTCTTCATTTGCACCTACAAAGGTTCATTTTTACCGAGGGAACTGCTTCGTTGGAAGAGAACTGTTTGAAGAACCTGAAGCATACCAAAACATTGTTCTCGGGATTCCAACGCCACGGATCAACCTGACTGTTGCGTCTTGACGACCCTGGAGCGTGCCAGAACACCATCCCTGAGACTTGAGCACCGCGAGTCAGCATAGTTTGTGCACACCCATAAGCCTGAATCCTTCCAAATCGTCTGTCTGGTACGTGTATCATGGGGCCCCATGGAACTCTTGCAACTTTTTAAGATGAATGTGCGCGGCGCGAAGGCGAGAGCCACATTTTGGAGAGTAACCGCCCTCAATCCGTGCAACTCGTTAAATTTTTCCCGGAAAGGGCGTGGGCCCAGGGTTCTCTTTTAGTTGGTTAACCCCCCGGCCCCCCTGCGACTTGGGCCGGCGAAATTATTTTGCGAGCGGGCACGCACGGAGTAGGGCCGGCGAAATTATTTTTGAGGATGTCTCGAGCGAAACGCTTGTTTTTCAGAATTTGTTGAGGATGTCTCGAGCGAGACGCTGGTTTTGCAGAGTTGGGGATGTCTCGAGCGAAACGCTTGGTTTCAGAATTTGTTGAGGATGTCTCGAGCGACACGCTGGTTTTGCAGAGCCGACCGCGACACGGAAAAGCGCCCCTCGCGCAGGAATTCCAAGGATGTCTCGCGCGTGCCGCGTCCCGCGCGCGGGTATTTGGATTTCTTGGGATTTTGACAGGATGTCTCGAGCGAAACGCTTGTTTTTCATAATTTGTTGAGGATGTCTCGAGCGAAACGCTGGTTTTGCAAAATTGGGGGATGTCTCGAGCGGGGCCTCGTGGGGGGCCAGAATTCAAAGGATATCTCAGGCGCAATGCTTGTTTTCGTGTCCCGCTCGCAGGAATTCCGAGGATGTCTCGCGCGTGCCGCGTCCCGCGCGTAGGAATTCGGATGATTGTGATAGGATGTCTCGAGCGAAACGCTTGTCCCCAGCACGTTCAGTAGCGCGTCCCCTTGGCACGTCCCGCGTTGCGACCCCATGGCACGTCCCCTGGCACGTCGCCTGGCGCATCCCTTGGGACGTTTCGCGGCGCGTCCTCCTGGCATGTTCCCCTGTCCATTAGCTCTGGGGCAGCTACTATGTGTTCAGGCAGCTCGAGCTTAAGATCCAGATCAGTTCGGTCAGGACTCGGATGCAAAGGAGGACTCGATCCACGAGGCTATAGAGCACAGTCGCGCCATGGCACATCGCAATTCAGCACGGCGCAGCACAGCACAGCCCTCGGCAGGGTACATCAAGATCGATACCTTCAGTATTGCATTTGCCCGTCACCCAATCAGGTGTCTTTGAAAACGCTGCCATGTGTTACAGTTCTACATTCCTTTCCGGGTTCGTGGGTCGATCATGTTTAAAACGAATGTACGCGGCGCTAAAGCGCGAGCCAAATTTTGACGAGGACTCGCCCTCAATCCGTGAAGCTCTTGCTAATTTTGAAGACCGGTGTGCGCGGCGATAAGGCGACAGCCACATTTTGAGAACGTCTCGCCCTCAATCCGTGAAGCTCTTGTAATTGTTTAAGACGAGTGTGCGTGGCGCTAAGGCGAGAGCCAAATTAAAAATCGACTCGCCCTCAATCCGCACAACTCTTGCAAATTTTCAAGACGAATGTGCGCGGCGCTGAGGCGAGAGCCACATTTTGACAACCACCCGCCCTCCATCTATGTAGCCGTTGCCAACTTTTAAGCTTCAGAGTCATAATGGTGAGGAACTCTCTGGCGAAACGCCCAGCCCGCCCTAAACATTGGCCTCGGGGTGCAACAGGGAGACTTTATTTAATCGCTTCGCTCATTCCGCCGGCCCATGATGAGGCACCGCGGTCGATTGGGCGAGAGGTCGTCGGCAGTGCGGAGCTGCAGGGGTCGGCGCATGTTCCCGGAAAGGGCTCGAGCCCAGGGTTCTCTTTTAGATGGTTTACCCCCCGGTTTCGACGGCTGTAGGGCCGGCGAAATTATTCTGCGATGAATTACGTGCGGGAGTAGGGCCGGCGGAATTATTTTTGAGGACGTCCCTAGCGAAACGCTTGTTTTTCAGAATTTCTTGAGGATGTCTCGAGCGAAACGCTTGTTTTGTGTTATAGCTTGGCCTCTCCTGGGGACCTGAATTCAGAGGATCTCTCAAGTGAAATGCTTGTTTTCACGTGCCCAGGTCTTGAGGATGTCTCGAGCGAGACGCTTGGTTTCACGCCTCCAGGTTGCCCAGACAGATGTCTAGCATGAGGATTAGTTGAGGATGTCTCGAACCAGAGGCTTGTTTTCACGTGTCCAGGTCGCCCAGGAGGATGTCTAGCATGAGGATGTGTCGAGAAAGTCTCGATCGAGACGCTTGTTTGCACGTGTCCAGGTTGCCCAGGCGGACGTCTAGCATGAGGATATGCTGAGAACGGCTTGAGCGAAACGCGTGTTTTCACGTGTCCAGGTCGCCCAGGCACAGCACAGCCTTCGGCACGGTACATCAAAATCGATACCTTTAGCACTGCAGCCTGGCATGTTGCCTGGCACGTTCCGCGGAGCGTCCCGTGGCGAGTCCCCCTGGCACGTCGCGCGGTGCACGTCCA